CTGGATGGAGAGGGGACAGCAAAGGTTCTCGAGGCGATTTTCCCAAAAAAATCCTAAAACTCAGCCGCTGGATCCACTTTTTCCAAAGCTTTCCATAAATAAAAGGATGGCCTGGAATGCTGCTGGGAATTCCAGAGGCTGCCTGGGTCCAGGTTTATCCCCCACTCAGGAGCAGTGATCCCGATCCCAAAATTCCACCCCAAAATCCCAGTTTATCCACAGGGAACGCCCCCAAATTTCAGGAGTTTTAAACTCATCCCATTTTCCTGCTCATCCCAGTGCCCTGGTGGGAAGCAGCATCTGGGATTGGGATTCTCCTTCCTGAGCTGAGCTGGGAATTATTCCCTTGGGAATAATCCCATAAAACCAAAGTCACGGGGGAGAGAGAAATCCCAGCCATCATTCCAGGGGCTGGAAATTTGGGATTGGGAACAGACAGCGGGAACAGCTCCTTCTTCCTGGAAAAGGGATTTGGGAGCAGAAGCGGGGGTGGTGATGAATTTTTGTGTCCCAGACTGGCACTTTGGGACATCGGGAATGTCATCCCATGGAATGTCCCAGGGAAGGGAAGAGGCGTTAATGATCCAGGAGAAAATCTGGGAATAAAGGGGCAGAGCTGCGTGTTTGGGATTCACCTGTGGGATTCATTCCCGACCTCCCCCACGCCAGCTCTGGACATTCCCAGCATCCTCCCAATCCCTGTCCTGGGCAGGAAATCCAGGATCACGTCCCTAAACAGCAGGGAAGTGTTTTTCCAGCTGAAAGCAGGAGCAGGGATCATCCCTGGGCTTCAGGAGCTGTGGCTGGGCAGGGCTGCTCCACCTCTGGAATGGGAATTCCATGGGAATCCGAGCTTCCATGGGAATGGGAACAGCTCCTCTGAACCCTCGAGGGGGCAACTCCAGCTCAGCGCCCGCGGGGTTTTGGGGAAAGTGAATTCCTGCGGCTCCGAGGCTGGAAGGGATCGGGATGGGGTTGGATCGGGGTCCTGCAGAATTCCCAACCCTTTTCCCTGTGCCAGAGGGATCCCACAGGCTCTGGGCATGGCTCAGCTCCCGGTTTTCCTTTGTGGGTGAGAAGAGAGATCCCAGCCAAAGGAAGGGGTTGGGAATGGGAAGAGAAATCCCAAAAGGAAGGGTTGGGAATGGGAAGAGAAATCCCAAAGGGAAGGGTTGGGAATGGGAAGAGAGATCCCATCCAAAGGAAGGGATTGGGAATGGGAAGAGAAATCCCAAAGGAAAGGGTTGGGAATGGGAAGAGAGATCCCAGCCAGAGGAAAGGGTTGGGAATGGGAAGAAAAATCCCAAAGGGAAGGATTGGGAATGGTAAGAGAGATCCCAGCCAGAGGAAAGGGTTGGGAATGGGAAGAGAAATCCCAAAGGGAAGGGTTGGGAATGGGAAGAGAAATCCCATCCAAAGGAAGGGGTTGGGAATGGGAAGAGAAATCCCAAAGGAAAGGGTTGGGAATGGGAAGAGAGATGCCAGCCAAAGGAAAGGGTTGGGAATGGCCAAGGAGCAGAGGTCGAGCCCGGCCCTCAGATCCCGATCCTGCTTTGCCCCTTCCAGCGCTGCCAGCAGGTGCCAAAGCCGCTCCCACTGCCCGCAGAGGGGACACGGAGAGCCGGGAATGCCAGGAAAAGCCTCAGCAGGGCGGGATCAGCATCCTGTGGCACAGGGAGCCGGGGCTGGAGCCGGGAGGTGCTGCCCGATGTGCCGGGAGAGACCTGAGGGACATTCCCAGGACAATCCCCAGGACAGGGAATGTTGTCCTGAGGCACCTCCCGTCGCCGCAGGCTGGGGGAGGCAGGGATGAGCCATTCCCATCCCAGCTTTTCCAGGGGCTCTTCCCGCACCCAGCCTGCAGGATCGGGGCTCCAGAGAACGCGGGGTGGGTCCTGGCTCGGCACCGAGGAGGGGACACCGAGGGGACAGAGGTGACACCCGCGCTTGGCACATCCAGGCTGGAGGAAGCGGATCCCGCTGGCAGCGCCCACCTGCAGCTCCAGCCACAGCATCCCCGGGAACGCCGCTCCCAGGGCTTCTCCCGCTCCTCCTGGCTGCCTCCCATCCCTTTTCCCAGGCTCTGGGAGAAGCCAGGGCCGGGCTGAGCAGCGGGAGAGGCGAGGGCAGCGCTGGCTCAGCCACGCACGGAGCGCGGGGTCCCTGCCGGCCCCGAGCCCTTTCCCGGAGCGGCTCCCGGGATCACCCCGGGATCTCCGGGCCCGCAGGGCTCAGCCCCGGGCAGGGCCGGGCTCAGCCCCGGGCAGGGCCGGGCTCAGCCCCGGGCAGGGCCGGGCTCAGCCCCGGGCAGGGCCGGGCGCTGGCACAGGGACCCGGGCACTGCGGCGGGGAGGGGCAGGGCTGGGCAGCCGGGGGAGGTAAACACGGCACCGCCACGGAAAGCAGGAAAATGACATTAAATCGACACCAAAATGACACCACGGCTATTCCCGACGTGTCCTTTGCCATCACCTTTGCTGTCCCCTCCTCCTCGGCTGGCTGTCCCCTCCCCGGGGTGGCCGAGGAGCTGAAGGAGGGCTGGGCAGGAGCCCCAAGGACCGCGTCCTTCCTCTATTTCACACTCAACGTCCCTCCCGTCACATTTTCCGCGTCGCTCGGGCACCGAGGGGTTAATGGCCGGGAAGCGCCTCTCCCGCCCGGATCGCATCCTGCCGGCATCCCTGGATTCCAGCCCCGCCGGCGGCTCCGTGACCAGCGCATCACCCCCGGGCCCTCCGCCCTCGCCCCTCATTCCCACCCGTGCCGGGGTGAGGATCCGCTCGATCCCGGAGGAGTTTCCAGGAGCGGGATTGCAGCTCCCGCTGTACCCGGGAACCATCCCTGCTGCCTCCCGTCCCTCTATCCCCTCCCGGAGCGCCTCTCCCCGTCCATTCCCTGTTTTTTTTCCCCCACCCCGTTTATTTCCAAACCATTTCTCCTCAAATCCATCATCGAGCAGGGAAAGCAAAGCTCAGGAATGGGAAAAAAACAACCCCGAGGATCCGCCGAGGCGCCGTCTCGGTGCTGCAGAGCGCAGGAGCCCCCCCAAAGTCACCCCCGGCCCAAAACCCAAACCACGGCGGTGGCCCCCGACTCACCCTCCGAGTCTGTCCCCGTCCCCCGGCGCCGCTGTCACCGCCTGCCACCCCCCGCCACAGCTGCCCGCACATCTGGCTCGGCTGGCAGACAAAAGGCCGGGTGGCTTCGGATCTGTCACCGCTGGCGGGGTCTGTCCTTGTCGCTTAGGACGGGGACAGGGCCAGCAGGACCCTCCGGCCACGCTGACCCTCAGGGCTGGAGGCGGCGGGCAGAGCCCTTCACCCTTCGCTCGCCCGGCGCCTTCGCAACCGCACAGTCCCCGCTCCCCCTCCTCCTCCTCCTCCTCCTCCTCCTCCTCCTCCTCCTCCTCCTCCTCCTCCTCCCTCTCCTCCCTTCTCCCCTCCCTCCCCAGTCCTCCTCCTCCTCACTCCAGCCTTGTCGCCACGACGTGCCACCCACCCGAGGCAGCTCCTGCCTTAACCCCTGCGGCTCTGGCAGCCCCCGCGGCCTCTCCCGGGGGATGTTCCCGAGGGATGAAGGCGCTCCCGGGAATGCTGAGCCGGCCCTGGGGATCCGCAGCGCTCCCGCTGCGCCACCGCCGTCCCCTCCCCGCTGCCGGGGGTCGCCCAGCCCGGGGGCTGCGGGGGTGGGTGGGAGGGGGAAGGGGACGCTCGGTGGATTTGGGATTTGTGTCCCGAATCTCCTCCTGCCCACGGGGATTTCTTGGCATTCCCAAAGATCCGGCCGCGTGTGGCCCGTGTCCCTCCCCGAGGGGACACCGCGGCCACCCCGCGGGGTTTGCCGGCTCGGTCCCCAGGCAGGACGCGCTGCCAGTGTCTCGTTTTCCCCAAAAAGGGATGTTCAGGGACTCCTAACCTTGAGGAAAAAACTGGGAAAAATCTGCCTTTTGCTCTGCAGAGAACCGGGGTCGCAGCTGTGTCACCCACAGGGGGGATGGAGACCCCCACCCATGGTGCCACCCAGCGTGACATGGGGACAACGGCAGCTGTGGGGCTGGGACAAGCGCAGGATTTAGGGTGAGGGCAGCACAGCACCCCCAGCTTTTTATTGTGCATCCCAGAAAAGCTTTTCCCATCCCCGGGGAGTGACAGAGGGCCCTGGGGAGGGAGGGCGGTGACAGCGGCCATCGAGTCCCCATTTCACGCTCGGCTTGGCGAGCGGAGCCGGGGGCTTGGCTCCTTCCCAGAGCCACGGCCCGGGGCTGGAGCGGGGCTGGAACTGGGGCTGGATCTGGGCTGGAACTCGGGGTTAGACGGGGCTGGAGAGAAGCTGGGGCCAGAGCGGGGCTGGAACTCGGGTCTGGATCTGGGCTGGAACTCGGGGCCAGAGCGGGGCTGGAACTCGGGGTTAGAGCGGGGCTGGGGCTGGATAAGGTTTGGAACTCGCGGTTGAAGCGGAGCTGAGGGCTAGAGGCTGGATCCGGGTTGGAACTCGGGGTTGGAACTCAGGGATGGAGTGGGGCCGGAGCGGGGTCGGAGAGAGTCTGGATGAGGGTTGGAGCGGGGCTGGATTGGGGCCGGAGCGGGACTGGATCCCGTTTGGAGCTCAGTGTTGGAGTGGGGCTGGGGGATGGATCCGGGTTGGAACTCGGGGTTGGAGTGGGGCTGGAGCGAGGCCAGAGCGGGACTGGATCAGGTTTGGAGCTCGGGGTTGGAGCGGGGCTGGACCCGGCTTGGAACTGGGGGCTGGAGCGAGACAAGATCAGGTTTGGAGCTCGGGGTTGGAGCGAGGATGGGGGCTGGATCCGGGTGGGAAATCAGGGTTGGAACGGAGCTGGGGGATGGATCCGGGTTGGAACTCGGGGTTGGAGCGGAGCTGGGGGATGGATCCGGGTTGGAACTCGGGGTTGGAGTGGGGCTGGAGCGAGGCTGGAGCGAGACAGGATCAGGTTTGGAGCTCGGGGTTGGAGCAGGGCTGGATCAGGATTGGGACTCGGGGTTGGAACTCGGGGTTGGAGCGGGGCTGGATCCGCGTTGGAACTCGGAGCCGGAGCTCGGGGCTGGAGCGGGGCCGCGCACACGCCGAGAAGAGCTCGCAGAGAGCTCGGAGTGAGTGACCTGATTTAATTGGCAGCACTTCAATGGCATCGAGTCCCTGCCCGGCCCCCCTCAGCAGAGCCCTTCTGCAGGCACCGAACGGGAGCTGGGCTCGGCTTCAGCGGCGCTGCCGGGCTTGGCAGCGCGTCCCCGCGGTCAGGGGGGCTCAGCTGCGCCGGCCCCTCCAGGATCCTCCTACAGCAAAAGGAAAAATCGGAGGATTCAGCCAGCACTGGGTCATGCGAGGAAATAACCCGTTTATTTTTCCCAAATCCCGTTAGCATCCTGTGGAAAGCACTGAGGAGCTCCCGGTGGGCTGGGAAAGCCCTTCCAGGTGGATTTTATGGGCTGGAAAAGCCCTTCCATGTGGATTTGGTGGGCTGGGAAAGCCCTTCCAGGCAGATTTCGTGCCCATGCCCGCTGCCAGGGCTGGGGACACCTGGAGCACGGGTTGGTTTGAAATCCACTGTGTTGTGGGGCTGGCAGGGAAATACCCCTTGAAATTTCCCAAATGCCTGTGGAAGGTTCCTGGTGGTCTGGAAAAGCCCTTCCAGGTGGATTTGGTGGACTGGAAAAGCCCTTCCAGGTGGATTTCAGAGGTGGAAAAGCCCTTCCAGGTGGATTTTAAGGCTGGGAAAGCCCTTTCAGGTGGATTTTGTGTCCGTGCCCGGTGCTCCAGACATTCCCGGGGTGTGGAGAAGCATTTCCCGGGTGTCCCGGAGCCCAGTCCCTGCCCCATCCGGCCTCGCCCGGCTCCTGCCGTGCTGCTGCAGAGGCTGAGTAATTCCTGAGGCTCCCGAGATGCTCCTCAGGCAGCCGAGCACGTCCCGATCCAGGTTTTAATTGCGTGGGATTGCAGCCGAGATGGCTCTGATTTATCCTCCCTGCTGCGCCAGCACTTCCCCCCGGCCGGCTCCGGGATCCTCCTGGAGAATATTCCCTGGGAAAGGGTTAAATATGTTCCTTGGAGTAGGAAAAAAACCAAAATCTTGGTGTCTGGAGTGGGATTTTCCCTCTCACGCTTGTGGGGTTGCGAGATTCCCGTTTTTTTTTCCTTTGGACACGAGGTGAGCTCCTGGGGGAGCTGCCCTGAGGAATTTTCCTGGAATCGGGGGATTTAGAGGGTTAAGCCAGGCTCAGCCAAGCTCAGCTCTACCAGACCTGGATGATCAAAGGGCTCCAGCGCCTTTTATTTTCTTCTGGATCAGGAAAACCTCATGGATGGAGGAACCCTGCAGGCATCCCAAATCCCATTTTTAACTCTGCTTCCCCATCCCAAATTTAAGCAAATTCCCATAAATTTGGGGTGATCCAAGGTCATTCCTGTGTCAGGGATGGGAATGGGATCCCATCCCCTTTCCCAAGCTGGAGGTGAATTCCCAAATCTTGAGCCTTAAATTCAGGGCTGTCCCATTCCCTTTGCACATTCCAAGAATTCCCCACTTTTTCGCCCCTTCCCAAATTCCATTTTTAATCCTAAATCACAGCAGCCTCCCCAAATTCCCACCTCTTGCTTGTTCCCATGAAGAGATCCCGGAATCCTCTGGAAAACCCTTCCCATGATCCAGAGGTGGGGAATGTTCCTCTGCTTCCTTTATTCCCTGCATTTTGGGGCTGCTTTATGGCCGCCATAAAAGCTGCCCATAAATCAGGGCCGATCCCATAAAAACCGGGAATAAGCGGAATTAGGGCCTGAATGGGAGCGGCTCCTTCTGCCAGCACTGGGAATGTGCCGGGATTTATCCTTTCCTCATTCCCAGACATCTTCACGTCCACCTTGGGAAGAAATTCCAAGGGTGAACACACCTGGTGGGGCTCCCTGTTTATGGGGTTTTTTATGGAGAATATGGGATTTTTTTATGGATAACATGGTATTTCTTTACGGATAACATGGGGATTTTTATGGATAACATGGGGAATTTTTTTATGGATAATAAGGGATTTTTTAATGGATAACATGGGGAGTTTTTTATGGATAATGAGGATTTTTTAATGGGTAATGGGGTTTTTTTATGGATAATGTGGGAATTTTTATGGATAACACAGGTTTTTTTTATGGATAACATGGGGAGTTTTTTCATGGATAATGAGGGTTTTTTATGGATAATGTTGGAATTTTTATGGATAACATGTTTTTTTATGGATAACATGGGATTTTTTTATGAATAACATGGGATTTTTTTAATGGATAACATGGGTTTTTTTATGGAGAACATGGGATTTTTTTATGGTTAGCATGGGATTTTAAAAATGGATGACATGGAGGGTTTTTATGGAGAATGTGGGGATTTTTCAATGGATAATGTGGAGTGTCACTGTCACAGGGAGGCCATGGGATGTCACCATCATGGGGGTGTCATTGTCACAGGGGACAGTGGGGTGTCACTGTCACCATCATGGGGGTGTCACCATCACCATCACGGGGGTGTCACCATCACCATCATGGGGTGTCACCGTCACCATCATGGGGGTGTCACCATCACAGGGGACAGTGGGATGTCACCATCACCATCACGGGGGTGTCACTGTCACCATCATGGGGGTGTCACTGTCACCATCACAGGGGTGCCACCATCAAAGAGGACACTGGGGTGTCACTGTCACCATCATGGGGGTGTCACTGTCACCATCATGGGGGTGTCACTGTCACCATCATGGGGGTGTCACCATCACAGGGGACACTGGGGTGTCACTGTCACCCTCACGGGGGTGTCACCATCACCATCACGGGGGTGTCACCACCACCATCATGGGGGTGTCACCATCACAGGGGACAGTGGGATGTCACTGTCACCCTCACGGGGTGTCACCATCACCATCATGGGGGTGTCACTGTCACCATCACAGGGGTGCCACCATCAAAGAGGACACTGGGATGTCACTGTCACCCTCACGGGGGTGTCACCATCACCATCACGGGGGTGTCACTGTCACCATCACTCCGTGTCACCGTCCCAGGGATCCCCTAACCCAGCCGTGTTTGGCTGCCCTCCCCCCGGAGCTCTGCTCGGGGACATTTTTCCCACTGGGGACATTCCGGGTGGGCGGCAGAGCCCGCGCTGGCGGTGTCACCGTTCCCATGGCAACGGGAGCCACCTCGTCCCTCCCTCCGAGCTGTGGGGACACACCTGAGTGTCACACACCGGGCTGGGGGCGTGCAGTGGGATTTGGGGAGGAATTCCTCCCTGGGAGGGGCTGGGATGGAATTCCCGGAGCATCCGGGGCTGCTCCATCCCTGGGAGTGTCCAGGGCCAGGCTGGAAAAATCTGGGATGGTGGAAATGTCCCTGCCCGTGGAATGGGATCACTGGAAATCCTAAATTTGGAATTTTAGGTGCCTTCCATCCCAAGTCATTCCATGGATCCAGTCACACCCTCGGAGCTTCCCTCCCTCTCCTTTTCCCGCCCATCCTGGAGCTCCAGGCTCCGCTGGCTCCTCACAAACCCTCGCTGGAGGCTGGACAGGGATAAATCCCAAGGAAAACAGGCCAAAACTGTGTTTACAAAACCCCAAATTTGTTTATTTCTCCTCACTCACATTCCCTGGCTCTGCTCTTCCCACCCTGGCACTGCTCCAGCTCACCAGGGAATGGCTCATTACTGGGATTTCCAAAAATTGTAATAAAAATCAGCTTTTTTTTTGTTTTTTTGGGTTTTTTTTTTCCTGCACAATAAAAGGACCAATTATTGGGAGTAGCTCTGGGTTTCCTCAGGGCTGGAACCAGGTTTGTTTTGGGAATGGCTGCTGGAAGAGTTGGAGGAGGAGGAGAAATGGGAATGGTGCTGAGCCGAGGGGTGCGGGGGAAGCTGAGAATTCCTCTGGATATCCCAGTGAGGGTGAGGAGTTAAATCCAGGTGATCCTGGGAATAGAAATCCAGGTGATCCTGGGAATAGAAATCCAGGTGATGTTGGGGATGGAAATCCAGGTGATGTTTGGGATAGGAAATCCAGGTGATCTTGGAAATGGAAATCCAGCTGATCCTGGGAATGGAAATCCAGGTGATGCTGGGAATGGAAATCCAGGTGACGTTGGGAATAGAAATCCAGGTGACGTTGGGAATAGAAATCCAGGTGATCCTGGGAATAGAAATCCAGGTAATGTTGGGGATGGAAATCCAGGAGATGTTGGGAATAGAAATCCAGGTGATATTAGGGATGGAAATCCAGGTGACGTTGGGAATAGAAATCCAGGTGATGTTGGGGATGGAAATCCAGGTGATATTGGGGATGGAAATCCAGGTGATGTTGGGAATGGAAATGCAGGTGATGTTGGGGATGGAAATCCAGGTAAACTTGGGGATGGAAATCCAGGTGATCCTGGGGATGTAAATCCAGGCGATCCAGCTCCTGCTCATGCTCCTCCAGAGCCCAGGCACGTCCTTGGATTCCTCTGATGGTTCCCTCTGAGCTGCTCCCCAGGATCAGAGCTCACCCCTGGATGGTTCCGAGCTCAATTCCCACATCCCAGTGGATTTTCCAGGGCTCCGATCCCGGTCCCTGCACAGCCGAGAGGCAAAACCCATCGGGATGGAGCAGGTGGAGCAAGGAGAATAATCCACAGGAACTGGAAAAAGGGGACAAAACCCTGGGATCTGCTTTTTGGGAGGCACAGAAATGTTCTTCCGTGGCTTTGGCGCATCCTGGAGGGGCTGGTGAGGCTCAGACTGGGCAGGACGAGGTTTTGCTCCCAGTTTGCCCCAGTTCCCGGCAGTGGAGCCCTGGAAGGGCAGTGGGAGATCAGGAATGCTCCTGGTTGGAAAAGGAGGAGGAGGAAGAGGAGGAGGACCCTGCGGGGTTGCCATGGCGATTGAGCATCTCCAAATCCTCGGATTATTTATCCCCGGGTTTGTTTAGGCTGAGGGAAAGCCTTGAGGGTGGGAAGAGAGTTGGGATATGAGGAAGAGGAGTGTGGGAGTCCAGGAATTCTGATCCTAGAGGAGAAATCCTAAAATTCCAGCTCTGGGGCTCAGCCCAACCTTTGGAGCAGCAAAAAGCGGAGAGTTTGGAATGGTTCATGGGGCATTTGTCCTCTCAGGGATCCTGTGATCCCAAATCTGCCCCGGATTTCCATGCTGGGATCTAGCCCATGGAATCCAGGCTTTATTGGGATTCATTTGTGTGGATGGATTTGGATCAGGCTGTGTGTGGAGCCAGCTGGGAATGCTTTCCAAAACCATTTCCCAAATTCCAGAGGAGCTTGATGGAGTGATCCTCTGATTTTTGGGATTAAGCATCACCTCCCTCAGTCCCTTCCTGGAGCACTGGAGCATCCCAGGTGCTTCCAGCTGCAAATCCCCCCGGGAAGAACCACCCTGTGTCCCCTCCTTGGTGCTCAGCCCCCTGTGCCTGGCTGGTGACATTCCAGGAATTATTCTTCCAGGAATTCAGGATGCTCCTTCCAGATGTGTCCCTGCACATCTGCTGCCACTCCCAAGGAAACCCGGGACACTTGGGTGTGTCTGGGGCTGGAATTTTGGGATAAAACAGGAGAAGTGGCACTGAGAGAGCCGGAAACATCCCGGTGTCAGCCATGTCCTCCCTTCCCGCTCCCTCTTTTCCATGGGATCTGGAATTGCTCCTAAAGCTCCTCTCCGGTTCCTTTTGATGCCTCCAGTGTCCCCGTTATGTAAATCCCAGCGTGGGAATGCCGTGGATTTTATGGATGTGGAGTTTGCGCGGCTGAGGGGACACCTTGGATTGTCACATCAAAGGACGAGGAAAAAAAATAACTCCGGGAAATTGGGAGCCCTGTGGAAAAATCGATTCCGTTTGATTTGGCCAACACAGGTCAGCAGGAAGGGGGGAGGAGGCCGGAATTGGGGGAAGAAATCCAGTTATTCTGGGAATGTTTTCGGAGGGGAAAGGGAAGGGAAAAAAGGAAAAGGGAAAAAAAGGGGGAAAGGGAAAAAAAAGAGAAAGGGGGAAAAAAAGGAGGGAAAGGGAAGGGAAGGGAAGGGATATCTGGGAAGGCCAAGGAGCATCCTCAGGGAATGAGGGTCCCACCCGAGCTGTCACCCACGGGTGGGAAGAGGAATGAGAGTTTTTCCTGGCTGTAGATGCTGAAGGAGCCTTGGAGGAAGAAAAACTTCCCAAAATCATGGAATGGTTTGGAAGGGAGTTCATTGAGCCCCTGAGCAGGTTTTTAGCTCCTGCTAAACCTTATCCCAGTGCCAGCAGGGTGATATTCCATGGAAAACAGCAAAGCCAACACTGTCACAGCTCCAAAAATCCATGAAAAAAACAGAATTTGGTGAAAAAATACCCTGGGAGAAGCAAACAGCCTTTTTTGAGAAGGGGAGGAGAAAGCTGGGAATGTTTTCCAAGAACCCCAAGGACAATGACAAACCAGGTGAACTCGGAGGCTGCGGAGAAAATCTTGGCAGCGGGCGGAAAACGCGCTGCCAGATTCCGGGGAATATTAACTGGCATTTAATTAGCGGCACTCAGGTGGTCACAGGAGCGGTGGCAGTGCCGCAGTTCCTGGCATTTGTTAATTAAAGCTGCTCCTGACAGGGATTAACGACTTTTTAATGAATCTGTTGTCTTAATGTCTTACTAAGTTTTGACTTTCCTCCTCGCCCCCACCGCCAGTTTTCCCGGGAATAGCAGCATCCAAAGGGATGGGAGGTGTGAGGGGCAGGGGTGGTACAGCTCCTGCCAGACTCCCAAAAAATTGGGAATGTGTGGGTTGAGGTGGGGGAACAGGGAGAGGAGGGGGCGTGGCCACAGAGGCAGATTTTTGGGAGGTGCTGTTGCTGGAGGAAAATGGGAATCAGGGATGGGTGTGGGAGAGACCAGCGCTGCTGATGGAAAAAAATGGGAATCAGGGATCAAGGTGGGAGATCCCAACTCTGGTCCTGGAGAACATTTGGAATCAGGGATGGGTGTGGGAGATCCCAGCCCTGCTGCTGGAGCTCCATCTGGAAGTCTCCAGGAGGACCTGGAAAGTGGATCTGAAAACGGGGAGCAGGGAATGAGGAAAAGAAGGAATTCTAGCGGGCTGGAGGAAATGGAGGAAAATGGATCCATAGATTCCCCCCCAGTGGAGCACTGGGTGGGATTCTGCCCTGCCCATCCCATCCCATGGATCCCATCCCGTGGATCCCATCGGATCCCATCCCATCCCATGGATCCCATGGATCCTATCCCATGGATCCCATCCCATGGATCCCATGGATCCCATCCCATG